GTTTCATAATAAAAATATTTACCAACTATTTAATATCCAATCCAACCACTTTCCTATTATTTATTCTTACTGAAATTATATAATTGATACTTTATAAATTGGCATTTGCACTATAATATAATATCTTACCATCATAAATTTATTCAAGCGATGCATGTCAATTCCAAACCATTCACGAACCATGGTTTTTAAATAGCAATCGAAAACAAAATAGCATCATTAATATTTGTGAAACTGTGAATTAGTGTACTAATATTATCTGCGAGTTCTTCCTACAAAATAAAAAATTAATTAAATTTAACATTCTTAAATGGTGGCTCACTATATTAAGAAACAAACTTGTATAAGAGGTTTATCTGACATCCACATGCAATAAAATAAACCTTTCCAGATCCTCATAAAATCTTCTTCTTTGAAACCTGTAATTACACCATTATAATATTATGATCATATCAATTTAGTAGCGTTCTTGTATCTTTAAATTTGTGTATGGAACAATTTATCACAGCGAAGAAATTATAAAAACCTGTTTAATGTTTTTAGCAAGTGCTGAAGTTAGCTTTATATTTTTATTTGTTATAATCGTTAACTAATTAGATGTTCAATATATATTACACTTATTTTTAACGATATTTCACAAATAAAACTTACGAAATGAACTCTGTGATCGATAACCTAACCATTTTCTTAAATTTTTTAATACTCTGTCACGTAGTTTTTTATCATTGCCCGCAAGAACTTTAGCAAATTTTAATTCTTGTTCTAATAACAAGACGTCCGCATTATTTTTATTAGATTTTTTGGCACCCTTTTTAGATAGTTTTTTCAACGTAGGTTGATTTTTTTTAACCTCTAAATTAGCAACTGCCATGATGCACCATGCGTTCTGTCTTTTTAGAACCAACAAGCACGCAACAAGCTCAGTGGATAAATTCCAAAGAGAACAAAATTTATAGGTATCAGAAAATTCAATACACAGAAGCATAGATAAAAGAGTAAAAGATCTGCATAGATACACAGATGCAAGCATAGATAAAAGAAGAGTAGTGGATGCAAGCATAGATAAAAAAAGCGTATGCAAGCTGATGTTAACAAACATCTAAACATCATATAAATATGATCTAAACATCTAGCATGCATCTAACAATCAAACTAATTTATTCTAAATAACAACTTGTACTAAATTGAAAAATAAAAGTCACATAAAACATTTAAAACAGTACCTAGACATAATAATAATAAAAAGTCCATCATTTCTAACAATTTATTCTGATAATTTTTTAAGACTTTCAGATATTTTTAAGATATTAATTTTAAGACATATTAATTTTATTCAGTTTTGAACGCCATCTACAGCCGTCGAATATTTCGAAATTGAAAGTGTTACTAACTTCGCGTCAATATTGAATTTGTCGTAAAATTAATGCCAAACGTCATGTCTCGTATTATGAAATATTAGTGTTTGTGGTTGTCCATTCTTGGTGGGGCAAGAAATATAAATAAATTTATGTTGTTTTATGTATTATTTATAATAATATTTACTCCATAGGGAAAACATTTATGAGTGAACTAATATAACAAAATTATCATGTTTTTATATATAATAAAACTATTTGGTTTAATACGCCTTGCGTGCGTAGTGGCCTGTCAAAAATGAATGAAACAAAAGTCATCTACCACATAGATGAAGAACAGACTCCCTACCTAGTAAAAATTCCTATTGGACCTGACAAAGTTACTCTGCTCGACTTCAAACAAGTTCTTAACAAACCAAACTATAAATTTTTTTTTAAGTCAGTTGACGATGATTTTGGTGTCGTTAAAGAGGAGATTGCCGATGATGCGGCGCCTTTACCTTGTTTTAATGGAAGGGTGGTCAGCTGGTTAGTCACAGCTGAAGGATCAAACCAGAGTGATAATAATTCAGAAGTGCCAGCAAGTGAGACTGATTCTGTAATGGGCAGAGATCGGGTTGGTTTCAACCGAAAGCCAACTGGTGCTCTTTGCTATAGAGCGGCTTCGGTCATGTCCAGTGATTTAGATGCAACTAGTCTTGTTGACACTGAAAGTGAAATAACTTTGGATAGGGATATGACTGAGTGCTCAAGTGTTAGTCGATTACAATTATCCAGAAAGAGACAAACGCAAAGAAGAAGAAAACGGCCCCCTACCTTATCTCGAACTTCCTCATACTCTTCAATAACTGACTCCACTATGAGCTTAAATATTATAACAGTTTCTTTAAACATGGATACTGTTAACTTTTTGGGAATTTCTATAGTGGGGCAGTCAAACACAGGAGGTGATGGCGGTATATATGTAGGAAGCATTATGAAAGGAGGTGCGGTTGCATTGGATGGTCGTATTGAGCCAGGTGACATGATTCTTCAAGTAAATGATATTAATTTCGAAAATATGAGTAATGATGAAGCAGTCCGTGTGTTGCGAGAGGCTGTTCAGAAAACAGTACCTATAAAATTAGTAGTTGCCAAATGTTGGGACCCTCAGCCTAAAGGATATTTTACAATACCCCGTACAGAACCTGTGCGTCCAATTGATCCTGGGGCATGGGTGGCTCATACTGCTGCTTTGATAAGTCATGAAAATACTATTCCTGAATTATCTGAATCTCCAGAATCACAATTAAATGTTAATATGGATATGTCAGAAGTTGTAAAAGTAATGTCACGACCAGACAGCGGTCTGGAGATAAGGGATCGTTTGTGGTTAAAAATAACAATTCCACATGCCTTTATTGGTGCAGATGTTGTAGATTGGGTGCTTGCTCATGTCCAAGGTTTAAATGATAGACGAGATGCTAGAAAATATGTATCACTAATGCTCAGAAGGGGTCATATAAGACATACAGTCAACAAACCATCTTTCTCTGAACAATGTTACTATGTTTTAGGAGACCCCAGTTTGGTCCATGAAATGTCAGCATTGAATTTAGGTGAAAGTGAAAGTATTATCAGTGATGTAACACCTCTTCCAAATCCTCCTATGTATATGCCTTATTCTGGCAACTACACACCTTCCCATGGATATCAGCCAATTCAATACAGCTGTGGAAATCTAGAGCAAAGGGTCTTAAGTTCCGGATCAAGCAGTTCTGATGCTCTTACAACCAAAGACATGGCAGCATCACAAAGTGATGTCACTTCTATTCAACAAAACATGTGTTCAGCAAGTCGTTCTTCAGACTCATCCAATAAACAAGATCAGGATATGTTTCTAAGCTACCTGTGAGGTCAACTGAAAACATTTAGAAAATGAGCATCATACCATTTTTTGTAATGCATGGAAGATGATTGTGATTGAATGTAAATGAACAATATAAATTAAAACAATAGTATCTGGAAAACAGGAAATAATGCATTTTAAAAATTGACAAATTATTTATAATTGTACATCCTAAATAACATCCAAATATCACCTTCTTATTTGGATTAAATGTTAAGAATACAAACACAAATTCAAGACTATATATATACATATGTGTATGTATGCATATTTAATTGTATTTTCTTCACAATCAGCATTTAATTTTGTGAATTTATAGTAATATATTTGTATTCATTACTATAAATTATAACTGCATATTTTATGCAAGATTATTACAGTTGCAATACTGCACCATGTAGTATTGTAATTTTCTTTAATAAGTATGGAATCTAAATCTGTCATTCCATAAATGTATATAGTTCCATAAAAGATCATCTATTATATTGATTGGACAATACAGGGAGAACATAAAAAGTATACTATATTATGCATTTTAATTCCTTTATAAATTTATTATGTGTCTATATATTTGTGTGTAATTAATACAATTGTAATATAAAAATATTGAACAAATACATGTCTAAAAATTTTATAAGCAATAATATATGGAAACATTGTTCATAATGTAATTATACATAAGCCTAAACATATAAAATATTTCAAGCAAACTTTTCAGAAATATAGGAATCAGAAATTTAAAGTGTTAATATTTCAGATGCCTTTACTTCAATTAGATTTTCCATAGCTTCTACTTGTGTGCACCAGTTTTCCAAATTCATTGCCATACCTCCAATTTGTGTTCTATCTAAAACTCGAGGTTGAACCCATGTCATATTCACTACACCAGCAACCTAAAATAATTATTACAATTTAATAACCCATAATAAATAGTTTTGAATATTTATTAGTATACACAGGAATACAAATACAAACAACAAATCAAATCAATATGCTACCTATAATAGGACCATATACCATTTTTATTTAAATAATATTATCTTCAAATTAAACGAACCAAATTATTTTAATATTTCTTCACAGCTCACAAATGTGATATATAAAGTATGTTAAATGCAGAGGTACCAATGTTTTTTCTGCAACTTTTATTGTACTACATGTACTACTAAGCAAAGTATTATTTAAATCCATGTAGTATGATTTCATCAAAAAATTTAAAAATAAGAATTTTTGATGGCTTTCTCATACATATGTTCAAATATTGGATAAGATTTAAATATTTTGATTAAATTACATAGGGTTGAAAAGCATATTTATTCAAATTCTATTTTGATGAGTAAAATGCGTCAATTTTGTTATTGTTTATATGAAATGTAAGAATACATATAACTCCTATTATTAACATTATTTTGAATTGAATTTCTATTCACCTGATCAATAGCGCCTTTAACTAATCCTTGAGCTAATGCTTTCATGACCAAAAATTCTACTTCATCAACAGGTAATCTAGTTTCCATGGCAATATCTTCAAATTTAAGCTGCCTGTTGTTAGCAGCCCTCTTGAAAGTCATCTACACAAACTTTTAGTTAATTTTAACTAATACAATTAACCAATTATTAATATTTGAGTGCTACTACCTCCATGAGACAAAGAAGAGAAATTTTCTGCCTGAGTGCTATTTCATTTACTACCAAGTCAGTGATTTTTGTCCATTTTGGACGCATGTTTTCGTATCTAGATTCATAAATAAAATAATTGCATAGATAATTTTAAGATCTGATAATTATGTAATTTGAAGTATTTATAGAATAAATATGTAGTTCGATTTATGAAAGTTATTGTAAAAAACTAGTTTTTTAACATTAATGAACTTCATTAATTGAAAATTTTCAATATTTGTTAAACATTCAGTTTTGTAAGTCAATAGGAAAAAACCTGCCAAAGTATTCATTCACAAAAAAAAAATTCAAAGTCACATCTTTAAGTACATAAATTATATCACTGACCCTATGTTTTTAGATTTATTTTTAGTATCTAAAGATAATAAAATAAATACTATTATTTCCAGTAAATGCTCTTAACTTACACTGCAATATCTCCTCTGTTAAAGGCATTTAGAAGATCAATCATCCAAGAATTTTCTGTATCTTTAAGAGATTGAAGTATTGGATGGGCCAACTATAAAAACAAAAAAGATATACTATATAATTTATAGCTCTATTTATATAATGCAACAAAACAATGTTCTTACCAATTCTCCTAGATTATAAACACCATCTCCAAGAAGAGCAGCAAGCCCTAAAAAGTATGCCTGTTTGTGCTGTTCTTCAGCAGAAAGTTCGCTTATATCAATGCATCCTAGATATCTCAATGCTGCTCTATAATAGTCTCCATGCTGAGCTTGAACTCTAAAAATATTCATATAAATTAAATTTTATATTGTATTGTGCCTGAAGTTCAATTGCAGGAACTTCCTAATTTCTAAACACAATAACCGGCCAAGATGCCCACAGATATTTTTAATTTGAATTCAAACTTTGATAAAGCCACGTAAACATGAATATCAAGTAACATGAAGCTATATTTAGTTAATATAATAAACAATAAAGGATAGTATGCTGATCAGCAAAATGATATAAATTCTGTGATAATGTAATATAAGGATAATATAAAATGAATAAAATAATATTGAATAGCTATTATCTTCAATGCCAAAATATTCTGTATATACCTATAATATTGTGCGGCTAATTGGTAATATCGTCCATGTACTGAAGTTACACTACCCGAGTCTTCTAATGTATCTTTTAATGATGTTATTATCTGCTTTGTTGTCACATAATCTTCCAAATGTTCTAATGCTATTTGACCACGAAGCACCTATTATAAATTACAATATTTAGTATTGCAATTAAAGATCATTATATTATAACTTAACTCTTAATCACTTGTTTGCATATGAATTATAATAAATAAATATTTTTAAATGATTTTTTACCAAATAGAGCAAGTTACTTTAAATTTAAATGGGGTTATAACTTTAATAAAAAAAAAAAGTTGATTTTTAGAAACAAAATATTAAAAATTAGTGTAGTTGGTTCAAGACATTTTTTTTACTAATATTAATATTAACCACTAGACTCAATAGAACACAGTCAACACTGGGCTTAACATATATTTATAAGAAAGATATCAAAATTTGAACAAATTAAAATGTGAGTTTAGTTTTTATATCCAATCTATGTTTAATGTGCCGATATTTACACTTACAATGTTTAGAATAACCATTATGATAATTATAATTCTCACCTGGCATAATGCATGTGCCTCTGTATTATTTTTAACCTTTTCAGCAAGTTTTTCAAGAAAACTTATAGCTTCTCTTTTATCAGCTATCTGTTGCACAACTATAGCCAAAATCTCAACTAGAGACAGAGGGTTGATTCTACAAAAAATATACTACATAAAACAAAAAAAAAAAGTTATTTTTATAATATTGCACTGGTTGATGATTGTTATTACTTATTTTCAAACGAGGTTATGAAATTTTGATAGACTTGCACTAAGTTCTCCCCCTTGCAAAGTTCTGGATTTTTTACAAATCGTTCTAATTTCAATGTTAGTTGATGCCATAATCTGTGAAAAAATGAAATGTAATGAAAATTTACCAAATCACATTCAACACCGGTATGGAAAAAATGTGGTGTATGTAAAATACATTACTTTTTATTATAATATTCTTCTAATTGTGCCCACTCAGCAGCTATTGCCTTATCAGAGGACGATTGTTTATGTGATAAATATTCACTAACGCTTGACGAAGACGTTGCTACAGCCATTTTGAACAGAATGACAATTAACAATAGAATCAGAAACGCAATCCGAGCTCAAATACGCGTTTAAACGAATGCATAGACGTCGATGAAATAAATGAAATAAACACTGTACGCGGATTCATCTGTCATTCGGAACGATTGACGCGCTACTAGTACTAACTAGTAGTAACCCTAAGTAGTAACTACTATAAATAAAAGATGAAAAACATAAATAATAAAACTACTATCGAAATTAATTAAACTGACGAAATAAATATGTAGCAAATTTTTATGTTCTGTAGACCGGATCATAGATGAGGGAGTAAAAGTAAGGACCATAAACCTGGTCAACCAGGACCAACTATGGAATAATTTAGTTAACTGCTTAATTCAAAATTTTGAATGGCAGCAAAATTTATTTTAAATGCTTATGCTTGCTAATTTATACCAATCAAAATGCTTGAAATCATTGAATTGCAATCCTACATATCCTTAGCGAATCATGGCCTTTATGATTTCTTTACAATTTACAATGAATTTATAATTTCATTAAATATAGTTAATCATAGTACACTTAAGCCGGCCACAGACGTAAATGTATACTGCGCAACCTGCGACTTGTGCATGTATTCTCTAGCGTCTGGGGGTGTTTTTTGCGCAACTTGACAGATGGTAGCGAGTAGGCATGAGCACTTTTCATTATTTTAATTGCGCATTTATTCATGTCGGCAAGTTCATTCGTTGGCGCGTGTGGCAGCACATATCCCGTTTTATTTTACTTTGTAGCAAATCATAATACAAGTTTATGAAGTTATCGACAATTAAAAGTTATTAAATTAGCCCTCTGAACACTTTGAATTCTCTTCTGATGCTGTAAACATAAATTAATAAAAAGTTATAGTCTGTGGCCGGCTTAGAAATATACTCAATGGCCTCAACATATATATTTCTATATATAAAAATTATTATATATTATTTATATATATAAGTTATTTTATATAGGCAAATACATAGTGAATATATTTACTAATGTTTACCCCTTACCCTAATGTGTTTCCTTAAAAATTATTATGTATTATAATATACAATAATTTTTAATGAAACACATTAGGAGGATATAAAACAGTAAAATTTTAGATAAATGATTGGTTATATCTTTTATCGATATTTTAAAAATTTAACTAAATATTGGATATTTAACAGTTTATTTTTTAAAATAATAATTTCTAATTAATATGTCTAACAAAATACTATTTTTTGCAATTATTTAAGTAATCCTTTTATTTATTCCATAACAGGACTTACTTGTCAACTGCGGAATCTACTATTTACATCAAATAAATCTAATTTATTATTGATCAGAACAAATTAGACTTTACAAGCGAATTATCTCCAATTTACATGACATTTAATAAATGAAACAGAGTGCTTCAACTTAATTAAAAACATTTAAACAATCACTTAAAAAGAATTCATTTGTTTATTTTTGGTTATACATATATTTACACCTAAATGTTATAACAAAATCGTCTTAATATATAGAAATATAATTGATATAGCTTAAAAATAACTTGTTTATGGACATAAGAGGAAATACAAAAAAGTAATGAAAACATTAATCAAGTCATAGTTAAAAACATGTGAATTTAATACATTTTAAATTGTCCATGTAAAACAAATTCTTCAGTATGAATATTGTTATACCAAAATATTTTTAAATTCGAGCAATGGTTTTCAAGCTAGGTTTATATCACATTTAAAAACTTATTAATAATATATCTTATGAACTACACAATGCAACAAAAATTCTATTGGCACTAATAACTGAATTATAATAAAATATTTATTGCAAAGTTAATGCAGCAATCCATTATAATTCACTGGTTAACATTTATGAGTTTGAATTAGTTTAAAATCAATTTTATATAATTATTTTCAAAAGTACTACCATAGATACAAGCAGCAATATGTTAGTGACTTAAACAATAATGCCTACAATACTGTTAAAACAAGGCACAGTATAAAATAACTTAAACACAAATAAAAATAAATCTGTTATATCAATATCATTCCAGCTACAATGAATAAAGTTCAATATAATGTCATTAGATAAAAATATTATAGGTAGTAAGATATTTATAAATTTTCAAAGCATTTTGAATATAATTCTCACAAAAATTCTGTTCTTATGAAGTAATATCACAAAAATAACCCCAAAAAGCCATTTTTTAATTTTTGTTAGATTTACTGTGTGAAAGAATTGGTCCATCCGAGAGACCAATAACATGTTAAATAGCTAGTGAACATGCATACGTACTTCTAACATATTTTTAAAATAGGCAGAAACATTAGTCACAATGCTACAAACATGTATAATATATTTATTTCAATGACTAATATAATTTAGAAAAAATATAAAGATTATTATGGAAGTGAATATCACAAAATTAACTGATTTTTATATTAAAAATTAGTTGTACTGTGAGACCTATTTACTTTCTTGCCAATAATTCTTTCATTGTTATTAGCAAGGGATTTCAGAGCGGACGATCTCAAGAGCCTTGAATTATTCAATCCTTTTGTCTTTTTGTCTTTATTGTGCATGATTGCAGGAGCCATCGTTTGAAGACACATCGCAGCTTCCTTAAGCTGCCTTGACAAAAATTCATTCTTCAACTTCTCTGCATTGAGTTCTCTCCTTAGTTGAGCTTTTGTTTTATTTCCAAAAGGACACAATACTCTATGTTGAATAATATTCACAGCAGATGGTCTCATTTCAGGATCTTTATGTATCATTAGCTAAATTTGTAAATTCATAGTTAGAATGTTAAGCTATAATTGCAAATTACATGAATACCATCATTCTAAAATTATTTACCCTAATCAAGTTATTGAAATCCTTACTGCACTGCAGAAGATCTTTTATTTTACCATCTCTTATTTCATGCCATTCAGGTCCATTTTTAGGCAGTGGACCACCCCCTCCAGCTTCGTAAATAGTCAATCCTGCAAATTTTAACATTATATATATAATATATATTATTTACTATTAATCCATTTACTATGTCAATCTCTCTATTAAATGTTGTAAAATACTATAGCAATCACCCTATTAGAACTTTTCAGCTTATGATGAATGTTTCAACACACATTGTACATATATAAATAAATAAAATGTCAGCTATGTAGCTATTTCGATGTATATATATATATATATATATATATATATATTATATATTATAAATTTACTATTATCAACTAACCTAAAGCAAAAATATCTGATTTCGTCAAATGCTTAAAATCTTCATTTAGAATCTCACGCGTCAAATATCTGCAGTCTCCTTCTTCAACTTGAGGATTTGCAAGTGATGTTACATGACCCAAATCACCTATAATGTTCAATAAAATATATTGCTTAAGAATAAAAGAAAAAATACTAATATTTTCCAGAGTTTAAGTAAAAATTTCATGCAATGCTAAATATTATTGCTTCAATTATAGGATCAAACAAAATTAAAATATGAATGCTAACCGATTTTGTATGTAACTTCTTCAGCGCCTTCTTCAAGTTCTTCAAAACCATCATCAGCTGAATCATAATTCAAGGGTAAAAGACGTTGTTCCTTTGATATAAAAATATTTCCTGGTTTTATATCCATATGTACAAGTTGCATTGAATGTATATACCTACAATTGGTTATAGAAATATTATATAACAATAATATATAAATCATCAAACTAAAGAATATAAAATTCCTCCAAAAGAATTTTGCAACACTAAATTTTTTTTTCATACTTATTGTCACTAATGTCATAAACCCTAAATAAGTACTATATTGATTGAGTTTAGAAATATACAAAAACATCAGTATTATAATAAGAATTACCTTAAACCTTCAGCTGTATGAAGTAATAAAGTTCGAAGTTCTGCTTCCGACAAAGGCTGTTCACGTATAACATCTTCTAAACTGCCACCATTACAGTACTCGTTCTGAATAACCATTCGATTATCTTCAGCCCATGCGCTATAGTATCTTACAACATGTTGATGTTTGCCAAGAACGGCGTGAGCATAAACTTCATTCAGAGCTGTTTGTCTATAAATTAAAAAAAAAATTATGAAAATATCTGAAAAATATATAGTAAATGATAAAACCAAATGAGGTTAATAAGAAGTGTTTTCTATTAATTTTACACAATATATATATATAATATATATATAGATGTGTGTTTGTGTATAATTATATAAACAATTATATAATAATCTTACTCATTAGCACTACCAGCGACTGGTTTAATGCTTTTCTTCACAGCATAAATACATCCATCCAATCTGTTTAGACATCGATAAACAGACCCGAATTCACCAGTGCCTAATATTCCTAATTCCAAAAACTCTTCATGGTATCTCGATATATTGCTATCCTAAAATGTTATACAAAGAATTAAAACATTCATCCTGTCAATGGGTTGATGTGTCATCAATTTTAAGGATAAATAAAATATGTTCCCAATTATATTTCATTAAATTACTTGAAAGAAAGTTCAAAGGCAAAGTTGTATACTTTCTCAAGGTACAATTAATTATTACTGACTATTGAATTTAGGTATGTTAAATTTGTCATTCCTATTGCACGAATCATGTCAATATTAAAATAATTAAATAAAATTAAAAATTTTGAGTCATATATAATACTAATTTTATATTTAAATATAGAAATTATGAAGAAACAACTCTAAAATTAGAATATCATTTGAAAAGTTTATTAGCATATAAACTCAATCAGTAATCGAATTTTTAGATTATTAATCAAAAAAAAAAAAAAACTTACTTGTAGAGCTACACGTTTTAGAGGTTGTTCAAATTCTTCGTCACTTACATCTTCAGCATTTAAATCTAACGGTGTAACTTTTAAAACAGGTGAACCATGCAATGATCTTTTTGACCTTGTTCGTTTTTTTGAGTGCATAAGCATACCTAAAATATATAATTACAATTGCTAGAGCAAATCTATGACATCATAAATATTCAATTGCAAGTACAAGAATTATAAATTATAAATATACAAAATAGTTTCTCTGAATTAAGCCATGCATTTAGTCGAGCATGAAACCATCAGTAAAAATTATACATATTCAAAATAGTTTTTACAAATTCAACCAAAATATATTTATCAATATCAATCTAATAATTTTACTTGAATTATTTAAGAATAATTATATTATTATATATTATATTTGTTTTAAAGTTTAAGATTTGAGCATAATCTTACCATTGGGAGTAAATGGATTAACATTGGCATGAGGACGAAGTTCATTTTTGAAGTTACTAGCAACAGCTCTAGGTCTTTCTGCTGTATTAGAACTAGATAATATAGATTTATTTGCAGAATTGATTGTTGTATTAATAATTCGACATCTTGGTGCTGGAGTGCTACTACATTTCTCAAGTAATGTCTTTGGCGTTGCAGGACTATCAAATAATCTAAAAGAATAATCAATAGATATAGATATGTCAGCAGGAAGTTTATAATAAAAAAGATTTCAAACTATTGTATGATGATAAAAATTATATGTTACATTTTCATAAACAAAAACCTCAAAGATGTGCTCTAAATATATAATTGTCAGAAGTATTTCAAAATAGTAAGCTGTAATGATAAGAATTAAGACATAAGCACTTCAAACAAGAATCATAATTTTTGTTAGATAGTGAATATCCCTTGAAGCTTTTTTGTTTATAATACTAGCTTTATAAGTGTACTACTAAAACCCTTTACTGTCTTAATTTTAAAATAAAATCTGTGATGTCGTGCATTAATTTTAATCCCATGGGAGTGCAACTATTAGATTCACTTACATTGAAAATACCTTTAATATTTTGTTGTATACACAAAATATTATACACACATACAAATGCTAGAAAAAAATATATTGAAATTCATATTTGTAAACAAACCAATCTAATTAGAACAATGTACAAAATGAATTTTTACGGACATAATCTTTATAAGCCGTATATTTTGCTCAAAGCAAAATCTAATAGTGTTTGCGACAAGACAGGTCACTTTTCAATTAAATCATTTACCTTAAGGCTCGTACTCGTCTGTAAGGGGGGCTGAAAGGAGCCGATGAAGGCTCTTCTGGTGTCGAATCTGCATTATCCGAAAAATCCAATTTTCTAGCTTTAATTCCGCCAGCAGGAGGACTTAAACAATCACTAGACGAATTAAAGCTGTCACTCATTTCGCAGCAACTTTCAACAGATACTAAAGTCGAATTCCAAGCGGAATAACGATCACAATTGTCAAAATTTAACTTTTGTGCACAATCCATGATTCTAGTTCACTTACAAAAATAACAAAAACATAAAAATATTTATCACTTACTGAGAACTTATTTTTTATAACATCATAAACTAGCATCACAAATTTTTCACATCGTACTCGTTATGGCGGGTGAGATGCTTAAAAAGCACCTGTTGACACAACAACCAATCGGCAGCCAGAATCCACTACTCCATTGCAAAAACTCATATGCAATCATAGAAGAGCGATTCCTATTGGCCGATTGTCGATATGGACGAAAAAGCGTTAAATATTTAAATACGAATTTACGAAACTTTCATATATCATATTATTATACAATGTTCTTTATGGAAACAAATAAAAAGGCTCTGCATGAAATTTTGAGGATAATGATAATATCTAATTTTGTAACAAAAACAGGAATAAAATAAGTTTCAATACAGTTTATTTATAAATATTTTATATTAAAAATATGTTTTATATTTGCCATTAATCACAATGTAAAATTTCTGCATATAATTAAAATGATGAAATAATTTTTAAAAATTCATATTTAATATGTGTTATTTATATTACTGGCACCTTTTATATTATTTGAAATCAATCCAATATTTATTGCTATAAATTCATACATTTCATAGTTGTATGTGCAAACCTCGCTTGATTCTGTGACAACTTGGAACCTTTATCAAGGACATATTAGTTATACTAAAATAATCAAAGGTTCAGTAAATAAGTTCATTAATATCCTTTTAAACCCTTTTAAAAATTAATTTACAAAAATCAATTTAAATTTGCCAGAGAAACTAGAAAAAAACAGAATTTTTTTTAGTATATCATGTTGTTAGATATATTTGCTTGAATGCCGAACAGCAAACATAATTTCATAGTATGAATAAACTTGATATAAACTTAACATATATAAAGGCTATAGTTAGCAGATCAAAATTCACATATTTTTTATTTAAAAATAACCCTCGCCCAGCAAGGAATCATCTTCTTTCCATTCAATGAAATTCAAAGTACTTCAAGAATTATTGATATGTAATAATAGTTAATATTCTAATATGCTAAGTATGTATGCAGTATTATTATATACAAAAAGGCACTTAAACTTCTTCTAGTAAAGCAAACTGATCTTCAGAATCTTCTGTGACTATTGCATCAATATTGTAAAAAGCGGCATGAAGAGATATTACAAACATGGACGCTCCTGAAAATTAAAATTAATTGTAAAAACTGTAAAATTATAAAGTTTTGCAAAATATTTAACTTTATATATATATATATATATATATATATATATATATACACGCTGGAGTCTGATGCTTCTTGGGAAACAAATCAGTACACAAAACCCATGTGTCGATTATATGCACAGAGATGCATTCTTATCTTCTAGATTCTAGACAAGTTATAAATATATATATATATATATATATATATATATATATATCTGCATCACAAAATAATCTAAATGATGAAAGAATAAATTTAAACAAAGATTTACAAAGAATTTTTAAATTACCGATAACCCAGAAAGCTGCAGCACCAGCTCCTGCTATATATAGAACAGGTAAAGAGGCAGCTGCTACAGCCACACATTGCTGTGTTGGTGTTAATTCTCGACCCATTATTGACATATGAACATTTGCTGATTTGATTTATAATAAGCAAATGCTACTCCGGCCAGAACCAACAACAACAAAGGAGATGTTATCCTAAAGAAATGAATTTATAATCAAATTATAAAAATTCATCAATAATAAATACAATAAACTTTAAAAAAGTTATGGAGAAGAGTACATAATTCTTAGAATGTTGTTACTATATGATGAATCTTTTGTTAAAAAATTGTTTAACTAGATGAAAGATTTCATTCTTTCATAGTGATAAATGATATATAAACAGCAACTACAAATTATACTTACAGACAATAAAGAAATAGACCAATAAAGACAAACAAATAATTGCTTTGAAAATGTTGTATATTTCGTACTATTCTTTTGCTCAATCGTGGCAAAGAAGCTGGAGCTTTAAAATTTGATGTCTGAGCAAATTCACTCCATGATCTAATATTTTGTCTTCTCTGCGCAATGAATTCTGTCACATTTGGAACTCGTCCTAACTGAGATTGTATTTGCGACAAACTAAAATAAGTAATTAATGTAAGTATTGAATAGATGTCTAGAAATATAACTAAGTAATAATATTAATATTAGAATGTTATATCTAAATCACAGAAGAACCAGAATTGACATAAATTATAATGTATAGTTTTTTTATAATAAAAATATAACTGAATATAGATAAAATTAACATTAAATAAATACAGTTCTCTCAATATTCAATATAGTATTAGGGCAATTGGAAAAACAGTATAAATACATTTTGTTATGTTTACATATTCATACTATTGATTTGTTTGTAGTGGGCAAATTTTAAATACTTTCTTATATTCTAAATACTAATTGGTTTCAACAATTAATAGTATACAGATTGTTTACAATATAATAAATAAATTCAATATAAAAATCTAGAACAATGACATGAATTTATAGAAAGGATTTTGGCACAAATCTCACCTAGGAAATCCAGATTTTGGTTCTGGAGGCGATTGCATTTCACCAGAAACGTCTATATTTACATCGGTCATTTTAATGCCTTTATATTCCTGAAATACTACATTTAATAGTGAGATATTTCTGATTATCCTGAATACTTTTGATATTTCTTTTGCAAATGTCAAATTCAATCGTCTTCTTTTCCTACACAACACAAACACATGCAAACTTAGATTTGTAACGTCATCTGTAAGTTCGTCAGATCTGACAGATAACCCATAAAAATAAAAATGATAAATTGATATTAATAGCAACCAAGCGACGTAGTACCACTTTCTATTTTAAATTGTATTTCATTTACTTCTACAACTATTTTATATGTTATGATTATATTTATATTCATTTGAAACTTGTATTTCAAATCCACAATGCAGTTACATCAAACAATTTATGAGTCTATCATATGAATATAACAATGATTATATTATGCATTTCATTCATAGACCTTATACAATTTCATAATGTATTGTATAAGGTCTATGATTTCATTTTATTGAAATCAATTACTGTTTAGGGCTAGGGCCTTTATTGTCATACAGTTTGACATACAATTTTATGTCATAATCAGTAGATATAAACAAATTGCAAAATAATAAATGTAATATAATCATATTCATTCATAAGAACACCTTGATTGAGATGAAATGCATAGAATAGTTTGTGTTCTGAAATTTTTTTTATATCTTATTCATTTTGTTTAAATGATATACAAGATTTGCTTTCTATCACTTTTAGAAAATATATTATTCTTTTCAATTTTTTTACAGTCTCTTCAAAACCATGAGCAATTACTAATCTTTCTAAATGATTCAAGTCACATTTAATTATTCTAAATATATTAAAAAATGTTTTGTTTGTTATAGATTTTGTTCTTGTTATATACAAATTATGAGTCTTAAGATCATTTTATGATACATATTTTATAGAATAAATCATCATTTTGAATCTTAATATGTGTTAAATCCACTTAATATTGTTTTCATGTAGTTCTTGTCTGCAGCCGGTATATCACATTTGTCCACAGCATTTTTAATAAGATTTATATCATTAGCTGTTAAACCAGGTACATAGTAGAGAATGTTTATGACTGTACTAATAAATTGTGTATCTGTACAATGTGTTATTGTATCTGAAAATAATTTTTATATAAATTAATAATTATATTTATATATGTTTCATCATATTTACACAACTATTTCATCTTTTTTTTTTTCTAAATATATAATGAATGCACAATGAGAACTGTAAACTGAATTCACTATGAAAATTACCATTGTTTGAAAAGGTGGTATTTAACAAGTCCATATCACAAGAATATTATAAATATATAATCTTTAAAATATTTGTTTAAGTACACAGTTTAGTATAGGCAGATAATAAAAAAAAACTCAGGTTAAAATATTATTCCATCACAAAGCATATTATGTGCATGTGACAAAACATTAAATAACATTCAACATAAGAACATATTTCTTCTTTCATTTATAAAGGTTAGCAATTTTACAAACTAAAGCTTATTTTTAAAATTCTCACCTAAAATTCTAGGAAGTTCCGATAGCACACTTTCTAAAAATTCTATATTATTATGTCTTGAGAGCATGATTAGAAATTGAACTTCTTCTAAAGTAAGATTTAAATTGCACACATATAGGTAAACATTATAAGACAAACTTTGTATCCAAGACAAATATTTAGAAGACCTAAAAATAAAATGCATAAATGAAATTAGGACAAAAAATTATTTGAAACAATTTCTTTATAAACTATGTACATGCTTACTTATGCAAATGTTGAAGTTCTGTGTCTTGTGATATCCTACATAATATTTTAAAAATGATTTTTCTCACATATGTGTTATTTCACCATAAAATAATTGAATGAGAGAATCCAATAAACTTTCCAAAGATATTCCATTTTTGTAGCTTTTTGCTCCCATTTCAAAAAAAATGCATAACAACATGTCTTCTAACACTTGATAAATATTATAATCCTCATTTCGAGTACAAATTTTGAATAAAGAATCTATAAATTCAAAATTGGATAAAAATCTACATTCTTTACAAACAATAAAATGTATGATACTTACTAGTAACATAATTTAATATAGTTGAATATTGATGTTTTTGTTTTAAATTACAGTCTTTACAGAAAAGAACAAACATGTAACAGATGTTATATTTTGAATCAAGCAATCACTATATCTGGAAGCTGGAAATTTTTGCTCAAATTTCGATTTCCGGAATATGGAAATCCGTCAACTATATAGTTAATAAAATCTTTTCTATATTTTTTGTAAAACCAATCGGTACTACTATTTTCTTCATCTGCTTGAATTTGAACAAAGAATCGTAAAGAGATCATAATTTCCATAATAGAGGTAAGTAATGCCATGCTCTCATTATTTAAAATATAGCAACCAGAAGAACCTTTGATGCTGTTTAATTTTACTTCTAACCATGTTTCAAATAATAATGGCATCAATGTTACTATTTTACTTTTAAAATCATTTCTTGGGTCAAAGATGCATTAAAATTTTTATTTGATCCAGAAAAAAGTCCTAGTCCATTTATTTTTAAATTGTGATCATCATAAACTCCTAAGTAGACAGGTATTGTTTCTCTGAATGAATAATTTTGTGTAACTTCTATATCCTGATTTCCCCTAAAATTGAATTATGTTTGAAATGAAGGAAGTATGGTATAAAAAATTTGAAATAAGATATGAACAATATAATGATATAAGATGGTTTGGTAATATATAATATTATTTTGAATTTACTATGCTATTCATCTTATCATTTGCAACTCAGTAAAAATAGATAGCAGATTTTTTTTAAAAAAAAACTTACATATAAAGCAAAATCTAAATTAGTGATACTTCCAGTCAACAGAAAAAAATATATCTAAACAATATATAAATAACTTTCTATTGCATTTTTAAACTGCATAAACAATTTATAATGAAAATTCAATATCAAAATAATAAAACTTACTTTTCAATGCCACTATTGTTCCTCATGAAGTCTACTAACACTTGTAACATAAGTTGCAGCTTTTGCAATACATTTACTCTCCATTTTATAGTAGAAATTTTTGAATTTAAATTTAATGTTAGTGATCGTTCAGATTTCGATTCAATGCGTAACTTAGATATCATGTCTAAAAAATTATCCATTATCCTAGAATAGTTATTGGTTACTATTGAAGGAACCAATTTCAATAATACATCCAAAAAACAATAAGGAATCATTTTGTATTCTTGGATCAATATGTGTCATTGCACAACATAAATAAGAAGATAATACATCATAATATGGCATTAACACTCTGCTATCTTTGTCAACTATCTGAAAAAATAATCAAATTTAAATTATTGATTACAATTGTCTTATTAAAATTAAAATTGAGATATTGCATTTGAAGCACAAATACAACATCAAAAAGTGAAACAAAATAGTGTTGTATTTTGAACATCCAATAAAATACTCCACTGAAAACTCAAATGTGTTTTATGAATATACATAAACTATTTATTTATGTATATGATTTAATATTGAGTCAAATTTCTAATCATCGAAAAGAACAATTTATAAATCACAAAAAATGTGAGTATCATTTTGCTGGTTAATTGATTTTGCCATTAACATTAACATTACTTATTTAAATTATTTACTTTGTTTTGTATATTTAAATATGAAATATAATCAAAACCAGATCAGACTATTATTACTGTTAAGCCAATATTACGAATCAGTACTTGAATTGACATCACATACAGGTCTCAATAATGCTTGAAGCACAGTAAACGATTCTCTTCGTACATCCTTTTCTTCATTTGTCGAGAGACTAGATAAATTTTTTCAAAATTGGACTAAACTGATTATCTATGATGTCAACAGAATATTTGGTTAAAATACATTTCAGATTATTTAATGATCCCATGCAAATTTTATGGTTGTGATGTCGGAGCTTGGACAAGCAATCCTATAATAAATTATTTATAGATTAATTAATATTAAATTAAGCTCACAAATAATGATACAAATACTAACTTTGATTTGCGTGGCGATATCAACTTTGTTCACTCCAACATTTTTTAACTGCTCTCCAATTATTATTTTCCGTACTTTGAAAGTTGTATTAGTTACATTTGTTCCTTTTGGTAAGGTTTTTCCTTTAAGTTTAACTTTTGCACGTTCTGATTTTAACAGCTTTTTATGTCTATTATTTTTACCCATTTTTAACCAAATTTAAATAATTATATTGACAAACACGTGCAAACTAATATTCCTAACCTAAAATATATATCTTTCATAACACAATGCGGTGTTGACGTGTTGACTCAAAAAACCGTTTTTCTTCGCTGTCAAATCAGCCGTTTAACGAATCGATTGGACCATAGATAAACAAGTATAAATGGATTGGACATAATCATAGATAAACTAGCGGCTGAAACTTCCCGTACCGTAACGAAACATTCGAGGATATTAAATATTTCTAATTTTAATAGA